AAAAGTCAGCGCGACAACGGAGAAACTGTCGAAGCTCTTATTCGATTCCTCCTTCTTTCCCCCTCTCTCGCTCTAACTATCTCTCCCTCTACCCCCTCCTCCTGCTCCATACTCTACCCCCTCCTCCTGCTCCATACTCTACCCCCCTCCCCCTCCTCCTCCTCCTCCTTCTCCTCCTCCTCCTCCTCCTCCGCCACCTCCTCATTCTCCTCATTCTCCTCTTCCATCCCTATCTATCTCACTTTCTCTCTCTCTCTGTCTCTCTCTCTCTCTCTCTCTCTCTCTCTCTCTGTCTCTCTCTCCCACGCTATCTATCTCTTGTTCGGTTCTTATGGCGGGGACATACTTTTCGTATTATCCTTCCCGAATGGCAAGAATTGGCGAACTTCTCGTCTCAACGTTGTTGAGAAAAATGCTGAGCAGAATTTTTTTTATCCAGATGATGTTCACTTACGAGACATCATGTCCGCTGAAATGTTCAGATTTACCGATCCCTTCTTTACGTTTCCCTGATTACATGCTGGTACACATTTGTCTTTATTGAAAATGATTATTTTCGTACTTTTACGATTAATGATCTATTGGAGATAATATACGAGTTGATTTGTTATCAAATATCTTTTCAAGTAAAACAAAAGCTATTATAATTATAAGATAACATGTTGCTTATCGATGGCAAAGCCACGTGGCAATTACATGTACTGATTTGCGATGGAATTGAATAAAGAATAATTTGTGCAGGTACCATTGATATTTTTATAAAATAAGAAATATCCAAATAATGTATTTGATTTTTATTATTGAAGTTTAGGAATAAATATTGAATAAACTTTCTTTGATGTGAGAAATGTGGGCTATTTTAATTCGCATCTACCGTATGCTCATTCACTTTTCCTACGTCTCGGTTATTTATCCAATCAAAAGTTTTTCCAAACACGAATTTTCTTCCATACTTGCACCCGTATCTCGTACTTTAAGAATAAAGAAGCTTATTTTCCTTCAAACTTTATTTATTTGGTTAGCCCTCTCAAGTTATGAAAAGGACGATAAAATTGAATTTAGCATATCCATAAGGATTTTTGAGGTCGCGTCCTATAATTTCTATCGTAATCTCGCTGCTAATAATAATAAATAAAAGTAAATAGCTAAGGTTGAACCATTACCACAAGAACGTTAAAAGTATCTTAAATAACTAATTTAAAGTCACCATTGATTTGATACTTTTTTAAAAATTATTAACGTTTTTAAACATTGTTAATTTTACTATAATACATAAAATTATTAAAAAATATAAGTTGTCTATCGGTAAATTGTAAATGAATGTTTTTTTATTTAAATTAAATATATCGAATTATCTTATTAATAATTCGCTGTATGAGTAGTAAAATGAATATAAAGTTAAATAAAAACTGAGGAATCAGAAAATATGAATTATATTTAATATTCCTTAGTCACGTTTCAAAATTCGTCAACTTTTAGCTGGATAAATGAAAATGTTACGCGATTTTCAAATGGATACCGTGTAAAAAGATTAATGATCATTGCTTCTTATCTCGGCATACTTTTTTATTTAAATGAAGTCTAGAGTTATCAAAATGTAAAATAAAATTAAAATACATACTTAATTTTAATTTATAGTGATTTATTTAAAGGGTTTTTCTAGAGTTTGAAAAGCAATAAATTTGAGCTTGTTAATTTTTATTATATATTTTATATGCGTTGGTAGATCATTTATTATTATTATATTAATGACTGTTTAAGAAAAAAATAACGAACAATGGAGATCACATTCAAATATTAATATTTTAAACAGTAAATTTATCTATAGTGATAATCGAGTGACGGAGATTTAATTAATTATTTATTTGAATATTATATTATGTTAATTTTTACAGAAGCCAATACGTTTGTAATCTATTTAATCCTATTACATTTAATACTATGAATTTTTATCATAAAAATATATTTTCATATATAAAATATTTCATTTATTCATTAACATTACTTACTAATTATAATCGCGTAGAAATTAACAAATTAAAACAATTAATAATTATAATGAATGCTTAAGCAACTATAATGCAATATTTATGTAATATTTCTCTTTTATGCTCAGTGCATGTATATTCATATATTTTTAGAAAAATTAAATCATTTTAACTATTTCGTTATATATATATATATATATATATATATATATATATATATATATATATATATATATATAATAAGTGTTTAATTATTTAAAATTTGAAGTAATATGATAACGAATGTAATGCTTGTCCTCTCGTGTCTCTGGCAGCTACGAATTAATTGCGAGATCTTACACGAAATTTGGACTTCATGAGCACGGTATGGTGAATGTGATAACGAAATTTTATATAGTTACTACGCATATGAAATAAAATTAAAAAAAATATATATAAAAATTGAAACAATAATAACTCTACTATAAGTTTTCTTTTACATAAGTATTATTGAACGAAACAATTGTATACGTACCAACGCAAATACACATTTTAAAGCATTGAATGTAATTAGAAAGAACATAAACGTAATAATAATAATAATAATAATAATAATAATAATAATAATTGCGTTAATAATGGGACTGTTACGTATTATTTGAAATTTTTATGAAAATTAATGAATAATAATTATTTCTCGAAGAATGCTTTTGAAAAATTTAAGCCACGATCTGTTTGACTATAGATAAATAATTAATACAAATAAATTTGATATTTAAAATCACCTTTCACATTACATTATACCGAATGAATTTATGTTAAAAAGCGTGGATTTAGAATCTGCCATTTAATTAATAGGTTCTCATGTAATAATATACAGTTTATTTATAAAGATTATAATAATAAAATCAATGAGTCAAGTTAGTTATTTTTGAATATAATATTGTAACTTATCAACTTGGCTCATTTTACGAAATAATAATCTAAATTATAGGGCGAAAAGATTTTATTTTCAAATTCGTGTATATTTTTTGATTTTAAGAAATATAATTGTTGAATATTATAGATCAGATTACTTTGTGCTGAATCAAGTACAAGTTGAGATGGAATTTAAAATTATTTTCTTACAAGTGGGTACTGTACTATTGTCCAATTTCTAATATTCATACGAACCCCATAAAGGGCATATTAATTTACAGGTGCCTGCTATAAAATATTTATTTGGCTAGACCAGAACTTGATTACTTTAATATTTGTAAATATAATAAGATTTGAAAAATTACGTTACATTTCTTTATAGTATTCTTCAAAATACGATAAAAATTATTGTAATTTTCAAATGGATACAAGCGGATGGTAAACGATGACACGTTAAGGCAAGCATGAAGAAAAATCAAACATTTTTCGATGTAAAAAATTTGTTATCAGCTTCAATTAACCAAAGTCGAGTGTCGAATTAAAGAGGGAATAAAAGGAATTTGAGAAAACAGACGAATCATCGGAATGAAATAGCAAACGAAGAGGGGGGAGAGATGGAGAGGCAAGCAATTTATCAAAAATGCAGAGGAAAGCGGAAGCGCTTTCACAGCTATGGTCAAATAAGCAGCTAAATTATTTCACTTCCGGAGTAACTTAAAAGACATTCAAGCTCTAGCTGTGAGGAAAGGTAAGCTCTTTTTTTTTTTTTATTATTGCGAGTGTCGATCTCACAGGTGATTTAGGATGTCCTTAATCGAGTCGAGTAAACGTTGCGATACTGACGCGTATAATTGAGAGTTTTTTTTTTTTTTTTATATCGATCGTTAAATCTTTTCTTACACTATATGTTCTAATATTTTATGCTACCGTTTTATGCGATCTAAGCCTACGTGGCTTTGGGAATAAAAATTTTCAATTAGTAAGAAAGTAAGGGCGGGACATTTGTTGGCGTACCGCGCGAGCTCGTTCATTTGCTCTGAAAGCTTTTTAACGAAATTTCTGCAAACACGTTGTTGCGCTGCGTTAGTCCGGAAAAAAGGATTTTCGTTTGAATTTGTTTTGATAATTTTCAACTCGGATATCTTGAAATTTTGAACGGCTAATGATTCTAATTCTTAAAATAGAAAAGTTGAAAGTCGCGAAGAATATGCCGAAGTTTCGCGATGGAATGTTCACGAACCCCGAGTGCTTATCGAATTATCACGATATCTTAATATTCCTTATAATAACGTTTAATATAGAAATGACATTGGCAGACAATGAAGGAATTAAGAATCGGTTGCTGTTTAATTTCAAAATTTATTCACTCCAAGGAGATATGCATTTACATAGGCATGAACGAATACGTGCCTACGAATAAAAGATATTGAAACTTCGTTAAGAGAAATGTTTGAAATATTTAAGCTTAATTGGAAGTTAAAATAATATAACAAACTTTGCATTAGATGGAATTTAATTTTGGATTATTCGAATAGCAATATATATATTATTAAATGCGCACATTGTTTTCATTGTGGTGGTCCACCGAATCATTTTTCCAAGTCAATTATCCCTCAAATATAACTATTATGGCTCTCAATATAACTAGTTAAAAAAAAAAAAAATTAATAAACAATCGATAAGACTTGATTAAACAGAGAATTACGACCTTCCTCTTTCTCTCTCTCTCTCTCTCTCTCTCTCTCTCTCTCTCTATCTCTCTCTCTCTCTCTCTATATCTATAT